GCATCCTTAGGGATGCCTCAACGTCTGCAATATGTCTGGGATGGAAATAAACCAGACTCCGGCGGAAATGTCGGCTGCAGATACTACTTTAACTAATGGTATATAATTTAAAATAATACAAAAATTTTATTGGTTAATTTATTTAATTTTTAACTGAAAAAAATAAAATATATATTGCTAATATTTTGATTCTAAATTTAGGGATTCTCTAATTTTTATCATAACATTTATTGTTACTATTTTATATATATATGTAACTTATATAATTAAAACATATATTAAATATTTATATAAAAAATATATTTGTATTTACAAGACAAAAATAATTCGATTTTATTAATTTTCAATTTTCAAATTAAAATTAATTTTTTACTGAAAAAATGAATTAACAGATTATAAATGAATTAATAGATTAATAATATAAAAAATTTCGTTATTATACTTTTTTAAATAGGATGAGTAATAAATTGAAAATCATTTTATATCTTTTTTAGATATGGTGATGGTGACTGCATCCGATGCTTTCGATTATCAAGAAGATCACGAAATGTTATAGAAGTATTTTCTGAAGATTTAAACAGATGTTACACTTCAGAAGCCACTGCTTTGGCTTCTTGTGATAAATTAAATTCGACATCGATTTTATATCGTAAGGGAAACAATAAATATTAAAAATTAAAAAAAGTCTATAAATATTTTATGTTTCATCATACTATTTAATTTATGTGATTCATTGTTTGTATAGGTACTAAAGAAATTGGAAATGTTCCTATTAGAAATGAATATTGCCCAATAACTGGCCAGTATCATTTTACATATAATCTCAATAATGGATCCGATAAAACTATTGAATGTAACAGTTTTTCATCTTCCTTTAACAATTGTCCTGATGGTTCAATCTTAAGATTACATTTTAATCGATGCAACTTTGAATCTTACAGTAATTTTCCTTTTTTTTCTTTTTTTCTTTTTTTTTTGATATATTTACAAAAATTCATTTATTATAATTCATTTATTTTTAGCAAATCTTACATTTAATTGCTTAGGCAATTGGCCTGGTCCAAATGGTTCTACTTATTTTGCGTTAATGGATAACAGTGCAACTTATGAAGGTAGACCACAATATAGATGTGGAGTAAGTTAAAAATAATATTTTATGATATTTCTAAAATATTTCTTCCCTATTAAATTTTCCTTTCTTTTTAGTTATTTCATGTTGACAATAAAAAAGGAAAGACATATATGGCACTCAGCAGTGATTCCAGTTGTACACAAGATCTAGATAATTCCACTAGTGGATATGAAACACTAATCCTTAGTAAAGTTCCAAATCAAAAAAAGATGCCAAATTATGTGAAGACTCATGTGGCAACGTTAGTATATTATTTTTAATATATAAAATTTTATATATATTTATATATTATTATGTCTATTAATTAATTACAATTTTTAATAATTTTATAATATTACAATAATTTTATATTATATTTAATTAATTAAAAAATATTAAATTAGATTTCCAAAATGGGCACAAGGTCTATGGGAAGAATCTCTTATTGTTAATGGTACTATGACTTTCACTGATCTTAATGGATATAATAGTTATACATTTATTACCGTTGATTCTAATGAAGAAACTGGCCGCTATATTGTTTACTCCAAAAATCAATGGTAACATACAATGAATAAAAAGAACATTAAAAGAGTTTGTTTTTATTAAAATTTCTAAAAGAAAAAATATTTCTAGTGAACAAGCAGCTTACGTATGTTTAATGATGAGGCAACGAAGTGAAAATGTATTAGAATTTGCAATAGGTATTTATTTTTTAGATAATTATATCGAATATTCATAAATATTAATTAAATCATTCAATTTATGAAATAACAAATTTTTCATGCAGGAGTACTTTTAAGCCCAGTTTATAAACCCTCATTGTGCGACAATCCTTTAGATAAACCTGTTTGGATGACACAAGCACGTAAGTCAATTTAAAAAAAAAGAAATAAATATATAAATTTTATATTTCAAAAAAACAATAATTTAGATAATTAAGATATATATTCTTAAAATTAGGCGTTGAACGTGCAGTAGAATCACCTTGTCCGATTACAGGAGAATATATGGGTATGATAACTGATTTATCAGGAATGTGTGCTGAATTAAGTAGTAATTGTAACACTCGTGAAATAATGTATTTTAAAGTTACTGATTGTGAATCTGGAGAACTTTATGAAGGTATTTTCAAAATTAATTTCAATTTATTAAAATATTTACTGGAATAGCCATACTATATAAAAAAAAAATTTATTTCAGAACGAGCATACTTATGCTTAGGACAATGGGAAGAGAAAGGTGTAATGTATACATATACTATGAGAAACGATACTAGTACTAACGAATGTTTTGTTGGTTTAATTGTAAATGACGAAGAAATCTATATCAAAGAAGCGGGAGATCATTGTATGAGAAATATTGATCCCAAAAAAGAAGGAATGCGTCTATATAAGAAAGGTGAGTTTCTAAATTCGTAATTAGTATTTAATATTAAAAATATACAACTAATAATTTAATATAATTAAACAGGTCAATGTTATGGAAATTCCCCAAGTCCTGCACCAACACCAATGAAACCAATTCCTCACAATCCAATAATGAGAATCGCCACTACTCCGCGATCGAGAATTTCAGGTTTCAAAAATCATATTATTTTTATTTATTAATAAATTGTGTTATATATTTATTTATTAATTATATTTATTTATTAATAAATTGTATTATATTATACAATTTATAATAAGATTGATTATTTTATGTAATAGGTACCACTAATATATCAGGAAACAATATTCCATCATTTGCTTCACACAAGATCACTGCATCTTATAGTTTTATGGTATTTATAATGGTAATTATGTTTTTTAAAAATATTTATACATGTATTTGAGTATCAATACTGCCAATAATAATAATTAATTTAGTGAATGAATGCAAGACACAAAACAAAAAAATATTATTGTTTTGAAGTGAAGTTATAAAAGTTTTTTAAATTTTATTAAGATTACTAACTAAAAAATGATTGAGGAAGTAAATACATGAAGTATTTAAAAAATTATTATATTACTGACTGACTTAAAGAAATATTTAAAAAATATAAAAATATTTAAATATTTTTAATTCAATATAAACAAATATATTAATATCAGTAATACAAATATACTTGTATTTGTTTTGAAAGATGCATTATAATATACAATATATAAATGAAAATATTTAAATATCTCCATTATTTACATTCTTATAAATATCTTCATAAATAATGAAGATATTTAAGTATTTCGATTTAAACGATGCATCTTTTATGAATGTTTATTCATATATCAAATTTTCACCAAACACTGCCTTGTAAGATACAAGTAATAGTAAAAAGAAAATTATCTTGCTAGGAGACTCCAAAGAAATTCATGTACAATAATTTTTGATTTTAATACATTTTTTAATTATTCAATTATATATTAAATCAATTGAGTAAATACAATTGCAACTATTAATCAATTAATGAGACTGAAGTAATAATAGTATATAGAATGGTTCACCAATAATAAAATACGTATATATATTCCATAAATTTGTACTTAAAAGAAAAAATTAACATTACTTTTTCTTAATATAATACATATTTATTAATTTACTTCAAAAAAGTTGAAAATGAAGTTGAAAATTTAAAACAATATATAAAATTATTAATTTTAATAATATAGTTCCTTAAGATTATTTTTAAAAAATCAATAACGATAAATTTTATAATTTCTATATAATAATTGGATTAAATTTAATATCAATTTTTACAAATAACATAAGCAAATATATTTGTATCTAAAATAAGATTTTTATAAATGAGTAGTATGAAACAATTTACATTTTTATAAAATACTTTTATAACTCATTTTTATATTTATATTTTGTGTGTGTGTGGTTTGTGTATATGTGTGTATGCTTTGTGTATATGTGTGTATGATGTGTGTGGCGCGCGCGCGCGCATGTATGTGTGTTTATTAATATATAAAATTCATAATAATGTTTACAATGTAGATAATACTTCTTCAGTCATAGTGTGTTTAACAATAAGTCTATCAGATGCCAAATTATTGATGTTATTGCCAATTCTTTAATTTTAAAAATAATTATTAATTAATTTTATTTAATTTAAAAAAGTCACAAATTTATAGTCTTTATTATTTTGACATCTGAAAGACCTGTAAATTAAAAAGAAATTAATTATATTAAAATTTCACAAATATGTATGATTCTGCATTTAAGTTCTTTCAATATTTATTTATTAAAATTGTGATGATTAGTATTTTGTATAATTAAGTAAAAGAATACTTTGTATATTATTATAAGATATTAAAAGGATGCTACAATTTTATACAAAAATTATATTAATAATTATTTGAATGCAAATATAAAAATTAAACTTTATATATATCTAATCGATATTATCATCTTTAAAATTATTTAATTCTGAAGATTATCCTAACATTATAATGTTCCTATTATATTATACAGAAATGCAATAAAATTAATTATGTTAATCACATAATTGTAATTTATATATGTATAAAATATTTTTTAACTTAAATATTATCTTAAAAATGTATATAATTTATCTTGCATATTTGTATACTAGGGATAATAAAATAATTTTTTTTAAATAATAATTGCTTTTCTTTGTAATATTTTATTTAATTTTTATTTAATTTAATTAATTTAATTAATCAAAATGTTTCAATTATTTGTAATTTAATATTAAATTTTTAATATATAAAAATAAACAATTTTTCATTTTATAATATATACAAATTCCAAAGAATTTTGATATAAAAAAAAAATCTATATACTTATACTGCAAGATAAATATTATCTAAATAACAAAACTTATGAAAAAAAAATATATAGCTTAAAATAATAAACTAATAAAGTAATAAAGATATATAAATACATAAAAAAATAAATTCAAATATTTATATATTTACGTTCATGTATCAAAAGATCTTCTTTACGTTTCGTTCCCCATTTATATTTATTACTACCAGATTTTCCTACTACACGATGACATGGCACCAAATATGCAATATAATTTTTCATTATTGCATTTCCAACAGCACGTACAGCTTTTGGTTTACCTATATTTTGCGCAATCTGTTCGTAAGTAACAGTTGTACCATCTGATATAAACATTAAAGCTTCCCAAACTTTTATTTGAAATTCTGTACCCTTCATAAGAACTAAAATAGAATCATTTGTAGATATTTGTTCGAAAAAAATTTTTTCTATAATTTCATTTATTTCATTTCCAATGTTCTTAATCAATTCGGAAAAAGGCCAATTGCTTTTTAATTCAGCTAATGCTTCTTCGTTACTTTTGTCGACAAATCCTAGATATATAATAGCATTATCAGTATTAGTAATGCCGATTAAACAATTTCCAAAAGGTGTAGGATAAAAACCATAAATTATCTTGAAATTTCGGTGATTTGTTTTATATTCTTGTGGTGTCATAGTTTGAAAACGAACCATCATAACAAATTTTTTAAAATTGTAGATACTATGAAAATAAAGAAATATAAATATTAAAAAACAATATATTATTTAGTATTCTTATTGCTTTTATGTAAACTTTCAATATCAAAATTTTCAATTTTTTTTATTAAAACTAAATGTTTAAATTAAAATATTTTATATTTTATATAACAATATTTTATATAATTTATTAATTTTATATAACAATAGAATACACAATCTCGAATAATCATTTTCCTTCAAAAGAATATATAATAAGTACTCACTCACAAAAATAATTTAAACTTATTGCTATGAATATTTAAATTAATACATAAATTTAAGATTTATTTTAATTTGATTAGAACTAATTTTATATTATACATCATCCGTGGAGTCGAACTATCGAATGTAAATAAAGCCACATGATCAAAGTTTAGATTCTAGAAAAAATCAAACTCGAATTTATAATTCCGAGATATAAAATAGGAAACTACTTTTTTATATATTAATTTATTCATAGAATTACTTATTATATATATTTATTATATATATATATATAAAACATAATAATAAATATTTGAAATAAAAGATTTGAGGTACAGATCATTTTTACGAAGCACTAAGTATAGTAACTTATATCGGTGAACACAAAGTTTTTTATTTTTTATTAAAAACACAATATATGTCATATGAGTTAGTTTTTTAATTGTAATTCAAAATTTTTTTTTATTCTATTTTAATTAAATATATCTATAAATCATTAAAATCATAGTTTAATCTTTTATTTGTTACGTTATTACATAGAATAATATATTAAAAATGATTGTTTTATACAAAAAAAACTGCACAATTACTTTTTTTTAGTTTAAAATTACAATAAATGTATTATTATAGTTTTAAAAAATAAATTAATTATAAAATAATAGTATGAGGTCAAGATTAATATACTTAACCTAAACCAAATTTAATCAAAAATATAATAGTAAATATTTTAACAATGGGTATTTTTTCTTTTATTCTATTCAAGACATTATAGTTAGTTTAAAAAATTTATTAGCAAAGCTAATATATTGTAGAAAATGAAATAAAGATTTATAATACATATTTAAACACGCGACGATGATGACAAGATTTACAAATATACAAGGATAATATTAATAATAATATATTCAAAAAAATCACTTTCTTCTTGTACGCTTAATAACATACGATTTTACTTTGTCGAGATCTGCATTAGTATCAACGTTAAAAAATACTTTACGCGATTTCGCATCTGATATTAATGAATTCCACATTGGATATCTCTGTAATCAATAAAACTTATTGTATAACATTGTATAATTTAATTTTTTTATATTTTTTTTTCTTTTTGTAAGATATTATATAATCTTACCATAAAAATATTAAAATTACCACACATAATGAGGCTACGTTTTGCTCTTGTAAGGGCAACACAAAGTCTTTGTCTATCTGATAAAAAACCAATTTTTTGACTTCGTACACATGACATAATTATTACATCACATTCTTGCCCTTGAAAACCATCCACTGTATTCACGTCAATTTTCACTTTTTTTTTAATATTTTCAGATAATGAAAATATTCTAAAAAATTAATATATGAATAATTTAATAGTAATACATAATACTGTCTTGCTAAATGTATACTTACTTTTCATGAATCTTTGTTAATATCATAGACTTTTGATTATTATATGGTGTAAGAATGCCACATGAAATATACGATTCCCAATTATCCAAATTAGCAGAAGTTAACATACAATATATAATATTTGCTACAAAATCTGCTTCTTCATTGTTTGAGTTGTCATCATTTTGATTTGAATTAAGATTCAAAATTCGATAGGGATAAAATGGAAACGTATCATCGCGTTCGATTGCAGTCTTCAACTTGCCACCATAAAAGAATTTATTTGGCCAAGAAGAAATATCATGTTGCATTCGATATTGTGTATCCAACATAATTATCGGATTATTTGATTGTAATTCAAAGGCGTTTTGAACTCGAGAAAATATCGATTGATCCAATCCATATTTCTTTGCCTGTGTACTTAAAACTGTGGCCGGTAATTGATTCGGATCACCGACTAAAATCAATATATTAATTCCTAACATTAATGGTATTAAAGTTTCTGCTTCACAACTTTGAGTAGCTTCATCTACGATGCATATAGATATTTTTTTTTTATTAATACCAAAAATGGATTCCATTTGACTAGTATAACAAGATGAAAGAGTACAAGTAATTATATCTGCATATTCAAGAAACTTATTTTCCGTCATACGTTGTAATTTCATATATTCTTTGTTTCTGATATTTAATTCATTTAATGATTCTCGATTTTTCAATAATTCATATTTCATAGTCATATCATTCAATTTCATCCTGATATGCTCTTTATAAGCTTCATCCAAATTACGAGAATTAGTCAATTCACATCGAAGAGCATTCATTTTAGATTGTAAAAGCAATTTTTCATTTTCTATGCTGTCGGATGGAGTATTATTTGCATTATTCGTTTTTCTAATATCTCGTTTTGCTAATTCTGTAACAGAAATATCTTTCACTTTTGGATGCATCATTTCCAATTGTCCAATGCGAACCATTTTAAACGGTTTCATCTTCGCCTGTTGTTTTATTGTAGTTCTAACATTTAATAATCTTAAAACGATTTCATCAATAGCAGTATTTGATGGAGCGCATACTAACATTTTAAAAGAACTTCCATTGCTTGTATATCTATTATTTCCGTATAATATTTGAGTAATTATATTTACAATTACTTTTGATTTTCCAGTGCCTGGTGGCCCTTGAATAAAACATAATTTAGTATCTTTATGAACTGCAGCTTTGGTTACTTTATTTACAGCTTCTATTTGTTTTTGATTTAATTTATCTCCAGTAACTAATGTCTCCATTTCAGAAACAACTGGTAACTTATACATTTCAAGTTGCGGATTTAGAATTAAGTTTACTAATGGTGAATTGGGAAGAAACTGCAATGCTTGTACCATTCTTAAGCTAGAACGTAAATAAATTACAGCTCTTAATCGCTGAACTCGATTTACTAGGATATTCTTATCAAGACATTTTGTTATCACAGTATATGTTAATAATGTATGAGGATTTTTCACATAATTCTTCAAATCTTGATTAAAACGAGTAACAGGAGTTAACACTGTTGTATATATATTAGTAACATAAGCAAATACTTTACGGAAATCTTTTGATTTTTGTGATTTTTCATGATTTTGAACATATTCAAAAAATATAAGATCTCCATAAATAGGATGTATTTGCTTTCTTATATCCTCTTTTGTGGCTAATACTTCGAGCATTAATGTTGTAAAAAATATATTATTCTGAACATTGTATGTTTGAATAGAGTTTTCAACTATAGAACACATAAATGTGGGCCGTCTATATATATGATCTATACTCTGAAATTGCTTAGTGATTCCATGCCAAATTTCTAACAATAAAAGTGGACTTATAATATTATAATATTCTTCGTATGATCTATAATGTGTTAAGGTTACATTAAGTTCTTCAGGTTGAATAACAGGTGGATCTTGATTCAAATATTGTTGTTCTTCTAACCATACTGGTTTCCAGCATAAAATACGCCATAAAAATTGGTTCCATTTTGCATTAGATTCTGTAGTATTACTAGCTTTTTTTACAGCAACTTTTTCTGCAGGTATAGGAGCATCTTTACCTGTTAGTTTTTTTAAAACATTAGATTCATCAATTTGATATTCACGCACGTTTTGAATTACTGCAGAAAAAGATACTCGTTTTTTTGGTTTCATGAAATTCGATTTAATATTTGATTTAGAAACAGAAGATTTATTTTCAATAAGTTTAGAAGATTCTTTATTTGATTTATTTTTTGATTCAATATTTTTTAATTCATTTGTTTTCTCTATTTTTTTTTCTAATGAGAGTTCTTTTAATGCTGTTTCTGCTTCTGTAGTATTTATTTTCATCTTGGTAGTGTTAGATTTTTTGGGAATCTTGCCCAAATTCGAGATATCATTAAGCGTTAATTTATATTGTAAATGTTTTGTTATTTCTTTAGAAATGTTTTTATGTTTTGCAGAATTTGTTATTTCTGAATTTGAAGTATTATTCACTGTAGATTGACTGGACGAAGCTTTAGATTTTTCTGTTACATTTTCTAATCTAGATGCAGAGATCGTGTCTTCGACAAGAAAATCATTTCGAGTCTTTGTCGTTATTTTCGCTTTTGGTTTAGAAACAATACGTTTCTTCTCTTGATTATTTTCTAAAGATAATCGTTTTTCCTCTATTGCAAGTTTCTTCAATTTCATTTTTCTATTATCTATTAACATTTTTTTTTCTTCTTTAGAAAGAATATTAACTTTTTTCTGTTTACTAGGAGGAAGACAATCTGCCCACTTATGAAGCATTTTACGATTTTTTTGTTCTTTTGCATACAAACGTTGTTCTATTTTCAACATTTCTTCTCGCTTTTTTTTTTCATTAGCAGATAATTTTTTTTTAGATTTTTCATGTTTCTGAGGACTTTGTTTAATTTTATTAGTATTACTGTTTCGTTTTCTGGTAGGTAAATGCGGAGGTTCTATTTGAGGCACTTTTTTCTCAATTGATTTTTTTTTCCTTGAAGATACAGTATTTTCTATTTTATTAGCTCTATTAGCTATATCTATATAATTTTCTATCTTTTTTTGTGTTGGAGACAAATTCTGATATTTCGAGGATTGTCTTTCCAATGTGAATTTTTCAACATAATCTTCAAAATTTTTTGTTTTATTTGGAAGAGTTTCTTGTGATATTACTTTATTTAAATTTTTTACATTGAGTTTTTGGAAAGTTTTTGGAGAAACTATTTCATTTAAATTTTTTATACTTTGAACTGATATATTTTCTTCTTCTTTATTCATAGATTTTTTTGCTTTTATTTGTTCATCTATGTTTTTTCTATTGTCAATAAATTCAAACTCATTTAGGAATGGCTCTTCTATATCAATATCTGCTTTTATATCTTCTTTCTTTATGTCATTGATATCAATTTCATCATTCTC